GTTTGTATGTGTACAATCATCCATCTAATCATTTATTCATTTTTGTAAAATTTATCATAAATGTTTACATTAAAATTTGTTTTTTTCTTTTCTTTAGTTACTGATAATATGTTTACATTAAATTTCGTTTTTTTTTTCTTTAATGACTGATAATATGTTTACATTAAAATTTGTTTTTTTCTTTTTCTTTATTTACTGATAATACCTAGCATATAATGCAATAAAATTTTTCTAATAAAATTTTAATTATTTTCAAATACTGTTTAAATTTTTTAATAATACTAGAATACATTGCTCATTTTAAAGAATGTAAATTGGTGAATGAACGCAGTGATAAATCATTAGAAATATTCTAAGCATTTAATGTATAAATTCTCTCGAGTTTTCCGACACTGTGTCTTTTAATTTTGTATAATTAGATCTGATTTAAACTAGTCTTTTGTTTTATCATATAAAGCCTGTCAATTTTCCGCTAATTTCATTTTCTCGATGCTGTTCTCAACCTTTGCCAAAGATCTAATAATCGAACATTAACCTTCTCAGATATTTTTTCGTAAGGGAATAGATTCAATTTCAAAATTTTTCAATATTTTTTAACATTTTGAACATATTTGGAAACATTTTTTTAATTAAGAAAATTTGCAACAAGTTTGAGAAATTTGTTTATATATAAGAGAAAAGAATTGACAAAATATTGATGTGATAATTATGCAAACGATGCCATAATTAAATAAATGAGTGATTGAATAAATAAATAAATCAATAGGTAAATGGAAAGAACGATAAATAAATATTGTTAAATAAACATTCATGTACTTATAGATGCCATAATTAAATAAATGAGTGATTGAATAAATAAATAAATCAATAGGTAAATGGAAAGAACGATAAATAAATATTGTTAAATAAACATTCATGTACTTATATCAACCTCTTTGAAAAAATTGAAAAATTAATTCATGACAAGTTTTTGATAAATTGTGATGCAAAAACATTTTTTTGTATTTTGACATATGAAATAATTTTTGTCGTTTTTCTTTTAAAGAACTAAGAAAATATTTTCTTTTACGATTCATGATAAAAGTCATTGAATTTGTTTGCGATGGGAACATAACTTTTTCATATATTTATTGAAATTCTCATTCTCAATAGATTGATGATTAATAAATTTTGTCGAGGGATTTTTTTTACTTAGGTAAAATGATTTATTATTGATCGATCTGAGTGAACTGATGAAATTACAATTTTATCCTATTCGTCATTTTTAGTTGTTAATAACACTGAAATTTCGTTTTAACGCCTTTCAAAAAAAAAAAAAAATAATGATAATTTTATTTTCAATATGGTTGTATGATATTTTATATGTTCATATTTTTTTCTTATATGTCAATTTTTATAACTTATCGTTTAAACATAACGTGGTAAAAATCACGTAAACGTCTATTTTTATGTATAGCTATCACCATATAGCCATTTCACATATAATTGTGGCAACCATAAGATGACCATAAAAGTTTAAAATTCTTAACGTTTTTGTAGTGTGATATATATATTTTGTTTCTTTTTTTTTTGATTAGAAGAAATTTTTTTTTTCATTTTACTACATTTTCATATATTTCATATCAATGTGTTGTTTTTTTGCTCTTCATTTTTGAAATGAAAAATGGTCGACATTTAAATTATTTCCATGGTAGCTATATGAATCCCATTTCCTGTCCAACCTGTTCAATTATCAAATGAATCATAATGGCAATCAGAACGATGTGATCGATCCGAATCACGAACATCCAGTCGATATGTGCCACTCAATCGTTTGTTTTTCTTTTCATCATAATAAAAGCATGTTTGTTGATAAAAAATTTACAATTGGAATTTAAAAATTTTCGGAAAAACAAACAACCTAATTATTTATCTTCTCTGAGAAAAACAACGATAAAAAACGAGGAACAATCGTTCTGGTTGCAATAATGAAAAAAATTTTCCTTAATAACTCCGAGTTAATTTTGCAATAGCCTAAAATTTGCAAAGGAAAGCTTCCTAAAAATTTAAAAAAATATTGGCCTAAAATTTAAAATTTACAAAAAAACTTGCAAAAAAGATGTTTCGAATTTACAAAGTTTTTATTTCAAACTAATTTTACTTGCAAAAAAATATTTCATGTATATAAACAAAAAAAAAGAGGTTAAACAAGACTATATCTTCATTAAATAATGTAATTTTGACTCCTCTTTTTTTGCAAACTCTATAAACTTTTGGTCTTTCCGTAATTTTAAGTGAATAAATCTATATTTAAATAGTGGTACCATACGTAACACTTTGAATACAGTGGCGGATAGTGTAAATGCGACAACAGAATTAAGCCAATGAATGCAAAATGAATATGTGTTATTTTTCTTATTTTTCTTTTTCTATCAAATTTATTGTTTATTGAATTTACTTTTCCTAAAAAAATTATTTCATTGTAAATAAGACTTTTTTTTTTATTTTTTTGTGTAGGAAGATTTTTTTCTTTTTTATAATAGTTTCTTCTTCAAATGTATTTCATATTATCGTATTATTATTTCAATTGCGTTTTTATTTGAATTCTCATTTAACTTTCATATTTTTCATTTCACTTTTCTAATCCAAATATTTCGAATTTAAATTCAAACGCAAATACAAATGCATTATGAAGAGTTGTAATATTTTTTGATCTGAAAATTTTTACAAGATTTCTGCATCATAAAATGAAAAATAGCCAAAAATAGCCAATGTTAAATTATTATAATTTTTTAATTTCTCTATTCTTTTCAAGTTTCTAAACCTTATTTTTCAAATCATAGCCTTAACAAAATTAAAATTTAATTTACCCAAAAATAAAAAGCAAACTTCTAATTTCGGGTAATGGGAAAAAAGTCGTTTCAAACAGAAATGGAAGTAACTGGAAGAATTTCGGCGGAATCAACTGATGGTAGCTTACGACTTAAGTCTGTAGGCAATGAAGATATGCAAAGCGAACTTACTATGCTTAAAGATAATCAGAGTAAGCATTTTTTTTCATTCTCTGAAAAATATCATATTAAGTGAGAAAAAGAAAAAGCTCATAGAGATGCAAAAAAAAGAAATGATAAGATATGATAGCATAATATGATATGATGATTAATTTTTTGTTTATCAAAACATTTGAGTATTATCTATGTTTTCCATTACTGCAATTGTTGATGATTCGTTGTGATAAGATATGCTCATATCTTACACTTAAATATTGCAATTAATTTAATTCAATCTAATTCCAAATCATTTGGTCACATCATATATTGTTAGTGAATTATATTCATTATTTAGTAAATGAATCATTTGATGATTAATTTAATTCATTCACATTTAGTGTGAAAATTTTTTTTTAAAAGAAAAATTTTCGAAGACCAACATGCCGTAACAGATATTTTGGCTACATTTGTAAACGATATTGATGGTACCGCGAAAGTATTATGACGTGGTTCACTGAAAAAGAAGCAAACTACGGGAGAAATAAAATAATTTTTACGTAAATTTTGAAAAAAATAAAATAAACTGTAAATTTTCAAATGGCGAAATTTAAATTTTGACCGGAATTAGATAGCAATATCGCCTTTTTAATTATGAATTTGAAAGAATTTTTTTTCTTTTTTTGAAACTTTTTTTAAGCTCTCTTTGACACTTATTTCTTGATAGTGGAAGACCATTGTTTTTCGGATGACATGAAAATTTTCAAAATTCTAAAATTTTAATTTATCATTTCAATTAATACTTTTCTTACAGTAGGAATTAATAGCTTTAGCTTTGCTTTTATTTAGTGTATGCTTCAAAAAAAATCGATTGAGATTTTCGAAAAATAAGAGACCAAATCGGAATAAGAATTAGGTATTGCTTGACAAAATTCGTTTCTAATTACAGGAGTAGTATTAAAAAAAAGTGCTTGATCGATAACTTCACGACGAAAGGTTAATATTGAGGTGAGGGTTTACCACAAAAAAAGGAAAATTTTTGTTTCCATAACAATTTTTCCGGAATTTCTATTTTTATTTCATCAAGGAGAGAGACTTATTTGGACGCGGACGAACGCACAGAAACATTGCGGAATATACACTCAAGTTCTCTCCAGAAAACAAAAACGTGATATCAAGATTCTAGGAACTTGTTAGAGATGCGATCCACATTTGTTCAAAAACCAAGACAGTAACATTTGAATAATTCCTCATTGAATCAAAATTAAGTCCGTCAAAATGCTTCGGTCTCTCAAATTCCTGAATCAACTTTACATTTGTTTTAGCCTTCATATACCTGTTAATTTAGTTACATTTCAATTAGCAATTCTCATCGTTAACACAGGATTCAAAGGCCAAACATACCGACGTGTTGTTGTACATTCCGTTGTGAGACAATGAGATAATTTTGCAAGCACAACCGATAATGGAGTGGTAACTTCACAGTTTTGGCCAAATTGTTTCTGTTTCTGCATAAAGTGAGGCAAAAATCATTGTACTTGACCACTCAATTAATTAAAAGTTTCTGGAATTTCTAACTAAATACGATACCCTGTCGCAGATTCTTTCTTGTCCGCGATAATAACTAGGAGTTCTTGAAATTCTTCTTGAATTATTTTCACTCAAAACCTCAAACTTGGGTAATTGAACCTTTTATTCAGCAATTACAAGCACGCCAGCAACATAAACGCGAATGCAACCAGCCACCCGGTACCCTCCTTTGTATCCAAAATCCCAGCTATCCCAGGGATGAGGTGGAGGCGGAGTTATTGTGAAGAATGATTTCCCACGGTATGGGAATGGTTGTTGTACTTAAGTGCATTGATACATTGGCATGGAATATTCTAAAATATGCTTATGAACAAAGCTTAATCACATTCAATAAGATTTCAGTAAGACAATTAATTATTGGAAATTGAGTATCACTTATTTTCTTCTACTTCTCGCGATTTCAGCGACATACCCAACTCTACGATGTCCCGGGACAAATATAGGTCACAGCTGCGCATTGGCTAATCTTGTCACACATTTCACTCACTAATAACTATTAGTCTATAGTTAACTCAGAAGTTTATGAAGTTTATGAAACTCAAAAAAACGAAAAATTTGAAATCAGTTCAGGAAATGATTGAAGTGACTCGTAATTGTCAGAATCATTTCTCACTGACCATTCACTTCCTCCCACATCTTTCAAATTCTCATATGTAACCGCTTTCCATCAATATTGCCCTTTTTTTCCATCAATATTGTTACTTTTCATCAGTACTATCCAATTTCTCGTCACTCCGGTCATATCTTTTATTATGTGGCGGAGAAAACCGGTTACTTCTGCATTTCAAATCTTCTTCAAGAAATCCACTTGCTTTTCAAAACATGAGCCAAAAAAAACTAGATTGCTGCATTAGTTAAATTAAGAAAGTGTTAAATAAACTAAACATTCTTCCTTTATTTCGAACGAACTCGATACTTTCTGATCCAAAAAATTTAATGGCTAATTCAAATGCGAAATACTTCTTGGAAGTTGATGACATTTACAGTGGCAAAATGGATCTAGAATTCGACCATTATTGTTCGATTTTCAGTCCTTTCTCAGTACTCGTGCATTTAGCCAATAAATTATTCTGGTCCATATGAAGTAACAATCATCAAAAAAAAGGAAATCTCATATTAACCAACGAAAAAGCTTACGTATGATAAGTAATCAAAGCCAATAGCTTCTGGCTTGTTTATTCAATTCTATAGAGATTTCAGAGTCGTGGAATACAACATTATTTATGAAAATTTCGAAGATAGCTAGGATTATATAACTTTCCATCCCCAAGATTTTCTCTCCTTTCTAGAACTTTTCGAAATAGAATCGCATTGTGCCTTTTATAATTACTTCATTACTTTGTTTATATTGCAAGTTGTTTGTTAGTATTTCTTTGTAAGTTCATTAAATGATTCGATGAAAGTGAGGCAAAGACAATTCCACTTCATTGCTCAAGTGATTGAAGATCTTTCGAATCATTTCATAAGCTCAAACTCAAAAAAATGACAGTAAGTTGACGGCTAAAAAATTGCAGAGTAACATATCGGAGACCAATTCAAAATGGAAAAGCAATTTGGTCAAAATATTAATCGTAGCAGAAAAGAAATTCGAGCCATCTTGTCAGCTCGAAATCGTTCATCACCCAGAGAATTGCGTGAGTATATCACGTTGCTAACCACTTCAATGGTAATCATTTGTACACGTGCATGCGTAGATTCCCACGTTCATATCAATGTTATCATTACGCTTCCCGCCTGTCTTAGAACATATTGCTAACTTTACCTTTTGCAAGCATGCTTGTTGTATCTCTCACCTTGGAATAGGAATTTTAAAGGGAAGCAATTTTAGTATCGCTATTGTGCACATCTTCTACGCAACAATCAAGCTCATGCATTGCGCGAAGAAATGATGCAGGCAGGATGCTAAAACATCACGATAAATACCGAACGAGTGATAACATTAACACGAAATCCTCATCAAGAATACAATCAAATAGTGTGAGCTCAAGTGAAATGGCCAGCACTGCAAAGGAACTAAACATAATAACAGGCAAATTTTGAAACGTCATCTATCAGAAGCAGCTTGAATTTGAAAAAAACTGCGCAGCTGAAACAACCATCTTCCTATCAACGACAACACAATTTTTCATAAGGTCAGAATCAAAAAATTTTGTTGAGCTGTCGTGAAAACAAAGTTGCTAATGTCAACTGGACCGAAAAAATTTATAATACGTTAAAATAATTAAAGTATATGCATCACTTCAAAGAAAACAATCAGAGTATATGCATCATTGTTTCTTAAATATTATCTTATTTAGATCATTTTTCAATAAGTGATTCATTGCATAATAATTACAATTAAATCTCCAACGTATTAACTGATGAATCGTTTATCCAATTCCTGTAACATTATGGTAAAGGACTACCGCTTGATAACCAAACTACTTGTAATCTTTGGTCTTTAATGAGCAGATGGATGTCGGAAAAACTCCGAAAATCATAATGCAAATTTTCTGTCGGATTACCGAAATTAAAGCTACGTTCAAACAAAATTTCCACAATATCCTTCTGTGACGAAATCTTGTAAGTAAAATTAAAACAATAAAGGGAATATAAGCTAACAATGGAGAGCATAAAACAAAAACGTCTCAGTACCTACACAATTGACAGTGCCAATGGGCAGCCATATCTCCACGATAACCCCGATGGAGCTTACAAAACTGCTCCCTAATCCTTACATGTATATGAAAAAAACCAATGAGGGAAGTTTTTACAACCAAGCAGACGACACATCCTTTTCGTCTATTCTCCACGACTGAACCACAAACAACGACATCCCGACAATCAAATTATTATCGAAGGCAACAACAAAGAACTTGTTAGTTGATCATATTGCTTGTTTTTTTATAACTCATCATTGCTTACCAAATCGTCGTGTAATATACATATATATTTTATACCCTTTTTTTGATGTTAACTAATAATATTGTGCAAGAATAATATTACGAATAAATCTGTATCGCCGAAAAACGAGTTCAACAGAAAAACTATTTCCCAACACTGGATGGCAACTCAGCTTATGTACATTAATGGGCACATTGTATCTAATCTGATAACCGTGCTTATATTCAATAGTATATTTCTAGACTTCTGCTAAGCATTGCACTTCTTTGTCTTAGAATTCCTTTGTCTGAAAAATTTTTATGTAATGTATTTATTGGTTTTGTAATCCACAGCCACTTGTTCTCAATATAAATTAATAAGGATTTGAGATAAGGAGACACTATTGACTAAAAGAGGAGATACGAATCCATCCCTTTAAAGGAATCTCCACTATTTCACTTAATCCAACGATCCAACCATATTTGGCTCTGTTTCTGTTTTATCCTCAATAATTTCAATCTATTCCTCGGGATTAAAGTAACGATTGTGTCTCATTCGCGTCAATTTCTACTTAATTAATAAATACTATCTGTATTCTCGATATTCAGCTATATCAGAAGAATCAATAGATCCTCACGCATTCAATGATAATTCAATTTCAACAAAACAGGCAGTTTATCTTACTAAACATGGGAAAGTAGCTTGAAAGAAGTAAGTCGAGTTTTATTTGTTGCGAGAGAAGTAAAGCAAATTTTTCGTAACAAAATTTGTACACGAACGGGAATATCCGCAATAATAATTGGAAGAGCCTTAACGACCACAGGAAGATTAATTCGATTTCTCAATGAAATTAAGCAGTTTGATCTGAAGCCAATTGATCAATTGCCCAAAGAAGAAATGCAACAACGATACGAGGCAAGAAGCCTACTTATCGAAGAAAAAATAAAACACCTCAAACTGTATATTACAACTTTGGAAACGAATGGCAAATGGATGGAATACCTTCACAAATGTGTAATTTCTCAATAAAGAAAGAAAGTAAAATACGAGGAAATAGCCGCTGGGAATGCAAATATTCAAAAACTGAATTATCTCATTTCTCCCTCAAGGGAAACGGATTGCAAGTGATGAGAGGCCATGATATTATTCTAGAAAATTATGACATAATAATAAGGAATATATTACTGGAAAATATGGGAATCCTTTCTACAATAATCAAATCTTTACAATTAAGTCTACTCTATCAAGAAAATTGGTAGAGAGTGGATAATAACTACCGAGACTATGGGGAGAGTACTTCGGCAACTGGAGGCATCTCGAGCAGGAAATCTCGAACACTCCGGCATAGAATCAGCGATTGAAAGTAGACTACTATGTTGGATATAAGAAAATGTTTATGAAAATGTTTATCTTACGAACGAATTACAAATAATCGAACTACCAATTATGAATGCCAATAATGATTTCCATGGTTTAAAGGAATAACAACAACATTCTGAGATACATATTGGAACTGATCACTTTTTCGAATTTGTTTAACTGGAAGGAATTCAACAATTGAGTTCAGGATCCTCATTGCTTCAGTCGCAAATCGGATCTATATTAGTTGGAAGTGGAGAATATAAGCAAACTAACTAATATTGAACAATTTACAAATATATGTGGCCAATGTAACTTATAAAGATAGATCAATTCTGGGGATCAATTTCTAGATCAAATTCCTTCTAGATCAATTCTGGGGATTGGAATTCATTTTTGCAAGCATTTTTTGGAATTTTTTTCAAGCATTTTTATGCAAAGCATTTTTTGGTTGCTTCCTTCTCATTATTAGTTATGCATTTTCCGCTTTGTGTAGTGCAGTACTCAGTATTACCTAGATCTGATGCTAGTCTTCTTCCACCATGAAATAATATTTCTTTCTTCAGTTGCAGATTGACATTTGCCGTCTAACCATCGGAGGAAAATCGTACATTATTGTTTTCATCCGGAGAAATGTGTTTTAGCGTAACCATACCTACTTTCTGTCAGAAAACTCGAGAAAATTTGTAACATACATACTTTGATTGTCCCAACATATTGTAGATTTTCTCGGGTTTTCCACATTCCCGATGAAAGGAATTATATTTCTGGAGAAAGAATTCGTGTATTATTGTCTTGTGGCACTTTTAGTTCGTCGCGCTATGGAATTTTTCGGTTTTTTGATCTCCTGATAGTTTGATAGTTTGAATTCCTGTATTTTCTTCATCATTGATATCAAGAGGATTTTCTTCATCAACTTCGAAAGGATACAATAGATTTATTGGTCGATTCAAAAGTTTCCCATAAGGTACCTCTGTCTGAGCGTTTCCTACCTCGCCGTTTCCTACCATTACCTGTACTAATATGCTTAGTCTTTGGTACTTTCCATATACCTGGTGGAACTTCTAGTCCATTAATTAGCGCAATTTCTCCTTTACGCCAATAAGAAACCCAACCGTATCTGTATTTTCTATATTCGTGAACAAATCTGGCATTGTCATCAATAAATCTTTATCAAACTTCTTGCGCCCGTGTCAGGAAATATGAATGGAACTTTATCGTACTGCATCGTCAATTTTCTCTAGTGGAGACAAAAAAAAATTCACGGCACTTCCTTTTGATCATCAGAAATTCTGCAGAAATGAGAAACTGTAGCCGGCTTGGTCGGAAAAAACGGATAACGATAACATAAGGAACGTTTCATTACATACTGTTCCGGAAATATTGCTGCATCTCGTTGAGGTATTCGCTCGAATATACAATTGATGTTAAATTTTGTTCTATGATCTCTTTTTTTCTGTGACAAAGGTATCACACACAGAGGTACGGTTGGTGTAGAAAATCAGGTCGATGAGTAACAGTCCTTCCGTTGGTAACGGTCGGTGACGTTGTACATACGGTAGAGAGCACATTGCAGTCAACTTTCCTCCTATGTGAAACTATAATGGAATGCTCCTTTTTCGGAAAGATGGAATACTTACACTTTGCCTGCTCAGTTTGTTTTTGTCGTTGAATCTTTTATCTTTTAAAATTAGCCATGTAAACGCAGACAGTTAGTCACACAACTACTTTTGCACTTTATTCCTTCTAATTCTTCCGTATTCAATTTTTTAGTGTGATGAAAGATGAAGTTTCAGAAATAAGAGCAATTGGGAATCATAGCCTTGAATTCGTAGCCGAATCCAGTTAAAACATAAATTTGATTAAGAAAATCGACTAAACACTCTTTAGAATCAGTTTTTTTCTTTGTCAAAAGCAGGAAGTGTATTGTTGTCAATTTTACGCAAATACATAAATATTTGCATAAATATTACATGGATATAAATATTTAGTTACATAAATATTGCATGTTACATAAATTACAAAAATGTTTACATAAATATTACATCACATAAATATTTGGTTCGCTTCGTCCAACGCATTGAATTTAGCCAATGCTGAAACTAATGAAATGAAATCGCCTAAATTATTCAGTTAGTTGTCCCTTAAATATACGTGTGGACATCCCTGAAAGTCCACAAAATCCATTAGAACAAAACGTAAAAAAAATAAGTTTCCGACTAATCTTATTGCCAATTCTCACAGGATAAGTTTCCTTCAGTTGAAATACAAGGAAGACGTAAACCTTATTGCAATACTAATAATTGTACATTGCCAATCACATTTGAAGGAATTTTGGATTGCTTATTATGCTGTCATCTGTTATCAATAAATATTTGACTGTTTTGACAATAATGTGAGTTAAAGTATTTGCTGTTATCATATCAGTCATTCAGTTTACATTCGGGCTAATGTGTTCTTAAACTTTCAGTACATATTGTCAGTTGCTGAAACGGATGCACAATTGTTCATTTTAAATCTGAATTCATCAATGGTAGCAGAACAAGCAACAACTTAGGTTTCATACCTCTTATTAGGAATGGCACATTGTTATATGACGCATTAATCATTAATGCTTGTTCAAGCGTCAACAATTCAATAAGTGTTGATCAACAACGGTAATGCAGCAATATTATTAATGGACGTCGTCCAGGATGAAGTCGAACTCAACAGAATCCTTCTAGCTGATGGCGTTCTACTCTTGATGCTGGTTTGGATTTGCTCACAGACAATGCTTGGTGGAGGCTTGTTCATATACCTCATCATATAATTATTATTATTATAGGGCTATTCATATCACAGTAGGTACAAAAGAAATATTTGGTATAAAGAAATATTTGAAGGAAATAGTTGATACGGACATCTCATTCTATTACTACTTACAATTGTAGACAATTGTTTTACTTCCTCCAAATAACTTTATATCACCGTGCAGATTTCAAATTTTTAAAAATTATGCAAGATTTTGTTCTGTAGCAAATTATTAAAACTGATTCAAATCACAATCAATTTTCAATATATCCGGTACAAATTTTCTTCATCGAAGCCATCTGTATCTCCCTTTTTTCTAGTTTTCATTCCACTTACTTGTTAAATGGCTGAAATATTACGATGATTAAGTAATTGAAAAGCAACCGTTCTCTTGAAATATTATATTTCATGATTCAAATTTTCAGAATTCCTTAAGATTTGGTACCAAAAATGATAAATAGGACTGTGCATGTTAAAAGCGACGTTTTAAAATTCGAAAAAACTTCGGAAATATACAACTGTGTATATCATTACAGATGGATATTTTTTCCAGCCAAGTTGTTATATTTCATGCTTTGACATGGTTTGTTGATATTCATAACTCTAAAATACCACTCTCTCTAATTGAAATTGCTTTAATTAATTTTTCAATCAATAAGTGATAACTTTATCAGTGATCATTAGATGTACGGTTTAGGAAGCGTACTGATTGTGAGGGAAGTGCTCGCTCGCAGATAAATAACTGTAGAAAGGAGAAGGAAAGGTATTTCAAGTTGTATAGAAAAAAAGAACTGTAGGTGAAGAAAAAGTTAGCACAACCTTATTCCACGGTAACTTCCATCGAAATACGACATACAAGTAATTGTATCGTGGCATGAGTTGTCGATTGTTTTTTCTTTGTTCTTATTTTTTTCAGCCCACAGTCGGAATAAGAATGAACTGAAGTTGATGATGATTGGATTAGTCATGAATGTTATGCCAACTGTGAATAACACTGCACACAGGAATTATATATTTTTGGCTGAAATGAATATGCGCAATTCACATATCATTGACATATGACAAGATGCTTAGATTTTGACTAATAGTGTTTTACCAATTCAAATTTCACTAAAATTCATAATTAAAGAAGAAAGTGCAGATGAACTGAAAGCGAAAGAACAAGTTTACCATAATTGTAACTTTGTCGCACTTGTTTTAGAAAGAAATCGTTAGTTTATAAGAAACTGTTTCCTGCCATCTCTTTATTTCTTCCTTCTTATCAAATATGCGCCATCATCGGGAAGACGTAATATACGCTGAACAATTGGACTTCATCATAATAATTATTCGAATGAAATATTTAGCAAGTTGTTTAGAAAGTTTCTATTTTCCTCCATCCACCTTATTTTAGCTCTTTCCGGAAAACAAAAGCTCAATTTTAATGTGCATCTGTCGTAAATAGAGTTACTTCTCACAGTGCAACCACTGGTTTGTGGGAATCATATAAGTGAATTTTCGGTTCATTAATTTCTATTTCAGATGCATAAAGGATTAATAATTGACATACTTCTTAATCTTTCATGAAATTAACATTAGCTCTGAAATAAAACAGTTTGTTTTATGCTAACTGTCAGTGGTTACGAATGATTGATAAGGTCATGTCACTCAAGTTCGTTTCATCTTTCATCTTTTCCTGTCCTTGCTAACTTTTCCATTTAATTTCCACGAATGAAATCAAAAGCAGTTGACGGAGCTTGTAGATATCATAAATCTAACTACCATAAATTTCAGTATCTTGATATTGCCTGTCAAATCACAGGCGGATTTCAATTTTCAGCTAATTAATAAATGCAAAGTTGGCAATAGTCAACTTTGCTATTATCAATCTTCTGAAAGCTAAGTATTTTTACTGTTTAAAACTAATCTGATAAGTTGCGATCACTTGTAATCGTGACAGGAACAAGACATTTAAGTTTACTCATATCATTAGGACCATCAGTTGAATGGACTCATCTTCCGATATCAATAAATATTTCCATCAACTAGAACGCAGTGAAGACGTAAGCCTTAATGCAATAGTACGAATTGTGCTTTGCTGATCATATTGCAGGTATTTTGGATTGCTTATTATGCTGTCATTCTTTATCACCAAATGTTTGATTGCTTTAACGATAATGTAAGTTAAAGTGTTTGTTGTTATCATATCACTGATTCTGTTTTACATTCCTGCTAATGTTTTCTTCCACTTCCAGTACAATATTATTAGTTATTGAAACGGATGCACAGGCGGTGGCTGTAAACGCTGTTACATTCTCGAACAACTCGGCAGTAGGCGGCAACGTAAGTTTCATACCTCTTCTTAGTTTCAGACATTAAAGTTTCACATATTATATTAACATATTAAGCATTAGTGTTCATTTAAGCATCAATTTTCCCAGTTTTTTTTTTTGTTTTAAAATTTAAGACAGTGGCCTACAATGGTAACGCACTACAGTTTATTTTTCTTGGTGGAAGCGATCAAGGGAGAAGTCAAACTGGACAATCTCCTCAAACTCCTCAAAATTCTCCTAACTCAGATTTACTTGGAACTTTTTTACTAGCTTCATTATTGGGGTCGGGGGGTAGAGGCTCCCCATATTCTCCTCCATATGGTTATTATTATCCATACTTCGGTTACTCTCCTTATTCCTACGGTTATCCTCCCTATTACTACTATTATTATGGATAATTGTTTCATTTTCTC